GCGCGAAATGGCGCGATTTGGAAACTAATGTTCTGTGTTTGTTTACATTTGAACCAAGCGTTCGATATTGTATAGAATGACGTATCCACAAAATCAGTCTATAGACAAGAAGTATCCCAAAAAGCAGTGGCTCGTTTATTGAGTCTATGTCGATACGACAAGACGAGCCATAGCCCTATCTTAACCATGCGATGTATCCTATTTTGATGTCTTATCGTGCTGATTTGGACCTCTAATAATACGCCCCCAACCCCATTTTTCGGGAACCCGGGACAACGTGACAAGATGGAAAGACTTGAAATGTCAGTGATAGGAATTTTGGAATGGGTTGATCAAAGATTACAAAAAACGTCCGATTTGTGTGATCTTCATTCCCGTTTGTGACTTCTATAAGCCGCGTTGTCTCAACTCTCTCTATGGAGGGGCTCAAGGTGGAACTGAGTCTCATTCTACGATACTTTCTTGACGGACTAGGATCCGCCGTTTCTCCTTCTTCTCTGCTCTGAATGTGAGTCACAATAGTAAGGCACACACCGTGGTCGAATGCCATGCTGGCTATACACATCACACATCATCTATTGTCTGGCAGGCGCGCATGCATTCCCGACCCGCCGCTTTCGATTTCTGTTATTCTGTTCCGCATTCCAACCGGAGACAAAATATTTTAGAAACCCCGCGCCGTCTACCGCCTCCTCCCACCCCACCTTCCCCGCCGCCGCCGTCCGAGAAACATAAACGTTTCTTTCGGGGATTCCACGCTCCTCGAACGCGGTAAAATTCACCTGCGTGGCATGATACTCATCGTGATGCTCATCGCTGATACGTTCGCTGATCGTTGAGCGTTCGCCGAATCAGTTCGTCAAACCGGGCTATATTCGACGAGCGAAAACCAAATTTTATTACACGGCTCGGGTCCTCGCTACAGGTCCTGTCTCATCAATCATTAACCTAGATTCAGCCGTCAACTTGATGAAATTTCTGATTCATCGATGGTACGGGAGGATTTTAGATCCATCTCGCGCGATGTGTCTCCAAAATGATCCATCGGGAATATTAAACGTTGCGATTCGAAGTAATTGAAGTTGGGGCTTGGAACTCAAGTTAACTCATGAAATCTAGGGATTTGTGTAAAGAAACTGGATCTGAATCTCGAAAGTGCCTCGAGATGGGACGGTACCCAAAAGTGCAAACCCCAGAAGGAATCAGGGAAAGTGTTGAGAATCACTCGGGTAGGTAGCTTCGAGCTTTGCACTTTTGGACTTTTGCGCCCCTGGAATTTTACATCGTAATGGAAAGCTATAGGAGAGAGCGCACTGATGGACTCCAGGCGATTCAGCCCGATTTGATAGATATCGATCGCGATTCACTGGGGGGAAAAAAAAAACACATTGGATCTAGAGTCCAGACTCTTGAAAACATTGACAAGAAAAAATACTCTTAATTCAATCAGATTTTTGCTTAAATCAAAAGGAAATCCGCTCAAATTAAGAGGCTTGGTTCTTGATTTAAGCTAAAATCCGATTGAATCAAGAGTTTTTTTTCTTGTCGATGTTTTTAAGAGTCGGGATTCTAGATCCAATGTGTTTTTTCTCCAGTGTTGTTTTAAAGTCATTTAAATAATCGAACAGTTCCAATCGCGGCCTTTAGATTTCCTTTGAATGAAACTCAGCATTCGAACGGATCTGATTTTTTCTCTCTAAGTATTTTTGAATCCTCACTAGAGGCTGAATAAAATCCCAACCGCGCTAAATCAATGGCTAGGCCCCACCACCGCTAGATTGACCCCCACAACGCATCAATCTACCCCCTCAATATTCATCGTTCGTTGTAGTGTACCCACAATCAGCTCTCTTGATTCCGAACATCCAACCCACACCACCCAACACCGCGTTCGATCAAGCAAATACAGACAAGAAAACTAGTGAAAAGTCCCAAACGTCGTAAGTGCTCAGTCTACGCGGATTGTAGCCTCGGAGGTTTCTCTGGGTCATCGCGGCTCATGAATTTCCGGCACTTGGTCACTGAGTGGCTGGCGAACGACTTCACGATTATGCTGACGCCACCATGATAACAGCATTTGATGAAAGACTCAAATGCTGATATAACCCGTGTACAATGCGTTGCAGATGGGACTTACGTTGTTCCTCTACGTCAGGCCTCGTTTGTCGACGCTTTTGTTCCTTATCACTTGGCGTTGACCGCGTTATCATGGGAGTTGCTCGCTGTTTTTCGAGATGAGCTCGTTTGTCTTGGTGACGGCTCTCTGATATCTCAAGCTTCTAGGAAGCACACTTTTTGTATTTCTTCATTTTTTTTTTAAAAATTGCATCTTGTTCTTTGATTGTAATTTGACTGAAGTAGACTTAGGTTTGTCGCAAGCGGAAAGTGTGATTCAATGTAAACAAAAATCGTCATTTTCTCACTTACGAGTTAAATTTGACGATATTCAAAGCGACTATCGTATTTAGCGTACATCGGCGAGCATGAAATATGTCTATTCGGTGGTGCCTCTAATTTCTTATCCAGCCAGGGTGTCTACAAGTCCGTAATTTCTGGAAAGTCCGGAAATAGTACTGATTCGTTAAGGGCGGTCCGGAAGTGCTGAAAAAGTGCGGAAATTCTGCAAGAAGGTCCGGAATTTTTTTTATTTTTTGTCATTTTTGTCGCAATTTGAGTGCGAAATTTAAATTTTTGAAATTCTTCGAATTTCGTCAACTGGAGGTACTGTAAAAGTACTGAATTTTTCTGTTAAGGAGGTACTGAATTTCTCGGGAATGTACTGAAATAGTACTGCAAAAGTACTGATTTTTGGCCAGCCCATTTTAGTAGACACCCTGCTGGCGATCCATTGCGAAAATCCCATGTAAATTCGTTGTTGCGTCGACAGGGGCAGGCGGAGGAGCTGCGGAGAGATGGGACTTTGCGGGGAGGGAGAGATGTGACGGAAGATATTTGGCGAGGCGGCAAGGATCAGGGGAGCCGGCCCGGTGGCGCCAGAGAGTGGGAGGGGGGGGGCGTGGGGTTACGGGGGCGGGAAGGTGGTAATTTATACCAAGGAAGAGAAAGATGCGTTTCGGACGGGTAGGCATCGGCATCGCCTGCAAAATGGGTCAAGGTCAAGGAACTGGATGACTCCGATCCCACTGTTGCCACGTCTCTCTTCACGGTCTTTCTTGCCTTCTTGCAAACACAAACGTATTTTTTTTTTTTTTTTTTTTTTTTTTTTTTTTTTTTTTTTTTTTGGATGATCTATCACGCAGTTTTTTAAGCAAGTTGATGCCGCGGTGAGCTTGAGCGGTGGGTTTTTGGGTTTTTTTTCATCGTTTATTTTTCTCCCCTTCCACTTTGCCCCCATACAGTACTTGGCGTGGCGTGCTTTGCAATAAATCGATTGATCTGCAATTTAAACCAATGGAAAAGTATCGATAGACAGGGTGTTCGCAGCGAACACCTTAATAATCGATTATTTACCACAGCTTCAAATGGGGAAATATCGATAGATCGAAAAGCACGCCACGCCACTGCCCCCATACCCCTCCTTTCCTCCTCAGACTGGTTTTTACTTGTAACTTCTCTAGCAGGGTAGCCAAAGTCTCCAAAAAGCGGGAAATGACTCATAAATAAGTCTTGGAAAGTTTTCGGGTTTACGGAAGTGGTAATTTTTCGTGCCGTGTCTTACAACTACAGTTTTTCCCTCTTGCTAGATCGGGCAAATTGAAGTTTTTCGCTCCGTTTCGTTCTGAAAGTCTGGAGTTTTCTTAAAATTAATTAAGAAAAACCTGGAAAAGTCAAAGAATTCCTTTTTATTAATTTCTGTCGCTACCCTAGTCTAAATTTTATCGATTATTAAATCAATTTCGTCCAATTTTCAAAACAAATACTATATCAAAACGTGTGAAATTATGATTCAAAAGTTTTGGAATTTCATTACTCTAATATATATTCTAGGCCTAGGTTATAACATACTCGGCTCCTGCAAATCATTCCGGAAACCATGTGAAGACGTCATACCTTATCGGAATGACGTCTATTCGATGCCGTGACGTCCTTAAGAGTTAAAGAGCGATCGTTTGACGTAGCTGTCCCGGATGCATCGTCCGTTCTCGACGCTGGCGTTATTAGTCTATCGAACGCCGACATACGTCAGTCTTACGTCATGGCGTCTCACAATTAGTAGTTGAAATCATTTCGAGTGTTCGGAAGTCGGCTTATCGGTCGGCGACAACGCGCCATGAATCAGTGCCGCTGCAGCGCGGCACCGTCTTCGTTTCAGATGGAAAAAATATATTTACGATTTTCATGACGTCAAATGACGCTGTGAAACATTCAGCTTTACTCGACTGTCTTTTACCGTATTCCGCCGAAAATGACCTTGGCTTTTTCTAGCGCCTTCGCAAAATCTAGTTTTTTTTTCATGAAAAGGGGGGAGTCGAAGCTGCATCGTTTGTTTAAAAAAAAATAAAATAAGTAAATACATTCATTTTCTAAAAATAACTGGTGGGTGCTGGTAAAGAACCAATGTGATTTCCGGCTTTTAGGGCAAAAAGTCGGTGGAAAACGTGGCTGATATCTAAAGGTATCACCACTAGATATCATAGGTCCTGTATTGTCACTGTTTTTTCACCTTCTATTTTATTATTTTATTATTATTATTTTTTTTTACAGGTCGTATTTTGCGTGACACCATCGCAATTGCTTTTTCTTTCCTCCTTTTGTTTTACCTCCAAAAGGGGTCTTCATTCAATAAACTTGACTTATGGTGGGATCCAAATGGGGAACCAATGTGCAAGGCAGGTTGCCTACCTGCAGCAAAACGAATACTTGGCAATGATGAGAAGAGAGGATGCTGTAGAAGCATTAGGACATCTAGACATTTTCTCTCACATCGACTTGATTTCTCTAACTCGAAGAACCAGAAAAATTTAAATTATAAAATTGTTGTTGCTGTTTTGTTCGTTCAGTTTCTCTGATACTTAATCCATCGTACTTTCTGTTTGCAGGATGCGTCACTTCGTGCCTTAAAAATCACAGGGAATCGGTTTGAGGCGGCATTGGATATGCTAGCCAAACAGCAGTATGCGGAACCTGTCAATGGACTTACAAAAATCCCATCGCCAGGTATGCCCCAGTTTCTTAATCTAGTATAAATATCTAGCTCTTAGTTCAGTATAAACATATCGTGAATCACGTTTGAACCACTAAATTGCAGAACTATGCTCCAAAAAGTGGCCTTTGGCGAACATTTTTTTCCGTGAGCATTTCTGGTCACCCTGGACCAGTCCTTACCTGTCATAGGCTCTGGCGACTGTGTGCAAGCAACAAAAACTGCTTGTACTCCCTCCTTGTTTCACTTTTGGCACGGTCAGAATCAACAAGGACGATCGACATAGCGACGTACAAAATAATCTGAAAAAGAGTGGCTCTTATTCATGGATTCTCTGCAGATTCTGCGTCTCTCTATGTAGCATTAGTAATCAAGGTAGCATTTTGTGCCCGCATTGTTGTAAGTATTAGGTGAGCCTGGTGCCAATCGTTCAGCCTCTGAAATTCCTTTGCCTCTCGTAAGTTTTCAGTTTGTAAAGATTATGAAAAAGGAAACGAGTGAAAGTGTAAGGACGCCTCTGTGCCAAGCTTACTCAGCGTTTACTAATCTTACCAGGAGGAATTAGTGATTATATCTAGGTCAAAAAAGTAAGCTCTCGTGTCAAGAAAGAGCTTACCAGTAGATCATGTTTTCCTTGTTTTTTTTCTTGGGCGATACTTTGTAGGGATGCAAACATTTCTTCGGCCCACGCAGTTTTAAGCATGCAGGGATTCAGCATACGCACCGTAACAATGCGTGTTCTCAGCAATTTCACCAGAAAATAGCGCGTTCGCAGTAGGTGATTTTCACCAATAAATCGCGCGTTCGCGGTAATTTTCAAAACAGTTGAGGCGGTCGCATCAATTTTCTCAAAACTCAACGCAATCCCAGTAAATTTATCAAAAATAGTAAGCATTCGTAGACATTTCTTCAAGAATTCAACACTTAAACAATAATTTTTTTGAACAGAATTCAAGTACACAGTAATTTTCCAAAAAAATCAACGCTTTCACACTAGTGTTCGCAAAAATCAGTGAGTTAAGCGTTCAACCTCCAAACTACAACCGATTATTTTTTATTCGTGTCATTGCACGTTCGATGCATGTAACCAAACCTCGTTTGGCAGTTCTTTTAACCTGATAAGTTCGGTTATACGAACCGAACGATCGGTTACACGAACTGTAAGTCGGGTTACACGAATCGAATAGTTGAGATGATACAGAACACCATGTTCTCCTTCATTTTGTGGATATGCAATGTCGCACCTTATTGAAGTCAAAATAATTTTATCACGCGTGTCGCACCATCAACCTTTTTTACTCTGCCTTAAAATCTTCGAGTCAGCGGGAAAGAGGCCAAGCTCTTTTTAATTGTTGTGGATGTGCGAGAAAGTTTCGATGCTTCTTAATTGTGATCGGATCTGAAAGAAGAGACTTCAACTTCCGGAAGAAAATTTCCCCCGAAACTTCGAACATTGCTTGAACAACGATAGCGGGTAGCGCCTGCAAAACCGTAGGGATACTTCAAGCATCGCGCTCTCGGTCCCTGACTCGCGAATCGCGCTGTTCCGTGACCCATTCACTTTTTGCAAATCCGTAGGGCAGCGCGCGTTCATAACTTCGAAAGATGTGCGCAAAATTGAAGCATTTTTCGATCAGAACATTATAATTTTTTATCATCCATTATTCACGGTCGAACCTAACGCAATTTTCCCATTGCCTACGCAGAGCGCGAAGGACCGATGGATCGTTGGTTCGTGATCATTCTGCATCCCTGCCTAACTGTTGCCTTTAAAAACCTCTACGTTTTGAGTTTCGTTATTTTAATTTCAATGAGGGAAACTAATTTCGTCTTTTGATTGATTGCAGGAATCTGTGGCCTGAACAGCAAATTGATCCGGAAGCCGAGCCTAGAGCGAGAACTCAACTTGCACAGGGGTAGTCCTGCCCTGGACAGCGGGGCTGGGAGTAGTCGCTCAGATAGTCCACGGCAAACTGTCGAGCTAGTTCCTCACGCACAGTTAACGCGGCAGTACTCGCCAAACAGTTTCACAGAGCCGCCACCGCCTCCTCCTCCCCGAAGTAGCTCAACACCTCCACCACCACCCCCACCTCATGCTCCATACCCAGCGGTAGTCCCAACTAATATGCAACAGCTCCTCAAACGAATCTCTCCTGCTCCCGCACTTCCGTCAAGGCCCCCGGCGCCAACGCCAGTACCGAGTTGTCCCCAGCCCCCACAACGGGGGACTAGTCCTGTTTCTGGGCGGCAACCCATGATAGTGCAGAATGGGCCCCAGGTCCAGCAACAGCTATCGCAACAAATCCAAGCCCTTAGTCTGTATCAAAACAACAGTGCCTCAAGTACACCCACAACGGAGCCTCCCCCTCCCTATCCGTTGGTTCCTCCTTCGCCTGTCGCACCTCCTCCACCCTCCTACTCAGCCTCCATACAGAGCCGACAGAGCCCGACTCAGTCACAACAAGATTACCGCAAATCTCCGTCATCAGGCATTTACTCAGGTCCGACATCAGCTGGTTCACCTAGTCCTATCACCGTTCCAGTTGGTCCGATCACCCCCACTTCTGTTGCGAGGCCCACCCCGCTGCAGGCGTGGGGCGCGAGGCAAGCCAAAACTCAACCACCAATCATCATGCAGTCCGTCAAAAGTACGCAAGTGCAGAAACCAGTGCTGCAAACTGCCATTGCACCCACCTCGCCTCCGGCTGCCACCCCTGTTCAACCTCCTCCCCCATCGTATGCATCATCCATTCAACAGAAGCAGCAGAAAGCTGTAACACAACCGCAGCAAGCCACTGTCTCTCCAACTGTACCTACGACGGAACCCCCAAGCTATGCTAGCACAATGCAAGCACTGGCAGCTCAGCGCGGTATCGTTGAAAACGGCACTGCGACCGTTCCAACGGTTGCAACCGACACACCAAGAACGTCACCATCCACACACCACCCTGTTCTGCAGCGGAAGTTCTCGCCGGCAGAATCTAGATCGGAAAGTCCATCCTCTTCTGAGTCCTCGCGGACACCACCTCTGCCGCCCACCGCATCCTCATCCGTAACAGCAGTCCAGAATGGAGACAGGCGCTGCAAAGTCAACCATCATCAATCGCCTATCCCAGAAAGAAAGCAGATCAGCAAAGAGAAAGAGGAGGAGAGACGCGACTGCAAGGTTAGAAATTACTCGCCGCAAGCATTCAAATTCTTCATGGAGCAGCATGTTGAAAATGTAATCAAGTCTCACAAGCAGCGGCTATTCAGGAGGTTACAGCTAGAAACGGAAATGGCCAAGATAGGCCTAAGCAATGAGGCGCAGTGTCAGATGCGGAAGATGTTAAGTCAGAAAGAATCTAATTATATTAGACTGAAAAGAGCAAAGATGGACAAGTCCATGTTCACCAAAATCAAACACATTGGGGTTGGGGCATTTGGCGAGGTCACATTAGTTAGGAAGATAGACACTAATCATTTGTACGCAATGAAGACTCTGAGGAAGGCGGATGTGTTGAAGAGAAATCAAGTTGCGCATGTTAAAGCAGAGCGTGATATTTTAGCGGAGGCTGACAATGAGTGGGTTGTCAAATTGTATTATTCGTTTCAGGTATGTCCTGTTTTATTCTCAGTTTTTAGATTAACATTTAATTCAATTTCAGTAATTGCCTTTAAAGTTGCTCTAAATTTGACTTTACTTCTCCGTAAAAGAACACAGCTTATTTCCTGTGAATTTCTTCCATTTAAAGCAAACAAGCTTGAGCTTAATCACAGTTTTTTCATCTTTCTCGGTGTCAGTTCCAAAAATTGAAAATCATTCCAATCCCATAAATTTAAAAGATAAATATTTGTTGGTTTTCTTGTAACAGAACAGATAAAAATGAAAAAATCTGATATAAAGTCACAGCATTCTTGCCCTGCATGACAAATCTAGGGCCATTGTCAAAACTGACTGCTTTTGACGAGGTACTTCTTGTCATGTTGCTGCGGCCCTGACTAATCCACAGTACCTATCCACAGAGGGAAACCAATAGCACTCATTTTCTTTCTACAAGGAGCCAGAAGTAGTAGTTCTTTATTGTAAAATAAAACCCAACTGATGATTCTCAGTTTGATGTTCTATTCACATAAGTTTTAAAATTTCTACTACTAATATTCATCCATGAAAGAACTTTTTTTTTTTACTTTGAACGTGTCCTTTCACATTTCTTGCATTTATCAATTCTATGTGTTCTTTGTTTTCTAGGATAAGGAGAATCTTTATTTTGTCATGGACTACATCCCTGGTGGTGATCTTATGTCGTTATTAATTAAATTAGGCATATTTGAAGAGCCTTTAGCTAGGTAAGAAACCGGAATTTATCTTAATACTAGTCCTAGGAGCAGTTTTTAAAATACAAAACTCTGAAAATTAATTTTATCACTCCTCTTTTCCCCCTTTAAATGCATCTGTAACACAGGTCTGCATCACCCTAGAAAATTAAGTAAGATTTTCTTCAACTTCCATTCCCTTCCCTCAAATTAACGTTTTGTAATGAATTTTGGATGAAAAATTGCCAGCCCATGCTGAATCTGTAGCTTCTTTTACAATCGAAGCATCCTGATTTTTGGGGGAACTGAAGTATAAAAATTTGATTGTTTCTCCGGAAATTAATCGGATGTACATTAAGTCTATTGTTGAGGCAAAGTGAGTAGCAGTTGCATCTTGTTGTAGAATTTGTTCGTATTTCAGTGTTGGGTGCGCTGGGTGTAATTGCGTCGAAGCTACTGTCGTTCACTAACTTGGTGTTATCTGTTGCAGGTTTTATATTGCAGAATTGACTTGTGCTGTAGAAAGTGTACATAAAATGGGGTTTATTCATCGTGATATCAAACCTGACAATATTCTAATCGATCGTGATGGACATATAAAATTGACAGATTTCGGATTGTGTACAGGATTTCGTTGGACTCATAATTCCAAGTATTACCAAAGCAATGGTAAGTAAATCAGTTATTTTTTTGTTTTTTATTAGTTTTTTGTTTGTTTATTTTATGAAGACTGTCCCATAAAATTGAAAGCTAATGTGTTCTGAGGAAATTAATGAAGGTATGTGAAAAAAACTTGTAGGACCTATCGCTCATTTTATTAGCCAAGGTTTTCTTGAGCGTATTTGGTAAAAAAAAAAAGTTTTCTATTTGAAGGTTGTGCAAAAAGTAAACCCTTCAGAATTTTCGAGTCATTTTTCATTCTTCCAACTCTATTCCATGAGGAAACAGCAACGTTTGGAATGAAGTTTGCATCAAGAAATATTTATTAACTTCTACACCACCAAATGACCACAATAATCTCGACTCAACCGTAATGAAGATCATCAGCACCACTAGCTGCGATCAGATTATTTATACATTCCTCTCCCATAGCTATTATGAAATAGGTTAGTTATCCCTGTGTTAATTAATTTTATTTTCTTCCTGAAGGAGAACATGGACGGCAGGACTCTCTAGAACCAAATGAAGACTGGGAATGTCGATGTCATCAGCTGAAACCGCTGGAAAGGCGAAGACGAATAGAGCATCAAAGATGTCTAGCACACTCGCTAGTGGGCACACCAAATTATATAGCGCCTGAAGTCCTCCTTAGGACTGGTTACACTCAACTCTGTGACTGGTGGAGTGTAGGCGTCATTTTGTATGAGATGTTAGTAGGCTCGCCGCCATTTTTAGCAGGCACTCCAGCAGAGACGCAGTATAAGGTAAGTTTTCCTGATCCTGAACATCTTGCCACACATTGCCTAAGATTGGGGATACAGATTGTTGGTTACAGTTGTCTAAATATTATTGGAGCAGCCAGTTGTAATGTGGGAGAAAACGTATGAGTTCACATGTCAAACTGGATGTGTAATTCAGGGCCAATATTTAAATGGTGCATGTTGATCTGCAATATCAAGATACAGGTTTTGTAACTTTCATTAGCAATGTATTCAGCCTGAGCTGTCAGATGTTCTCTGCCCTGTGATTTCAATTATTTTATGTCTCCAAGAAGTTATAAACATTTCCAGGTTCCTCAGAAAATTTGGGAAATAGCCCTATCCTCATGAGCACTTTTGGCTCTTCAAAGCTGTGACAGGCAAAATGTTCATTTTGACTGCCTGGTTAGTCTGAATGCTTATTTTTGTCCTTCTATAAGCAGCAGCACAGGGAAATAGTAAAGAATTTAGAATTCAAAAATATTTTGAACCCTGAACCCCTCCAATTATTTTAGATTCAGAGACTCTACTTTCTTATATTTGGCTCTTCTTCTTTTTTAAACGCTTTTCTCTGTCTCTTTATCTTATTTTCCCTCATTTTTAGTCGTGCGGCGAAGCCGTATAGACTCTAGGTTTCGCCGGAGGCTACAAAGTGTCCACACTTTTAGGCTAAGTCCAACAGGAGAATTTTCGAGGAACCAAGTAACATATGAGGTATTGATATCGGTGCATTTTGGCCCAATGGAGATGTTACATGTGCGAGGAATTTGCAATTTGACTGTTGATTCTTGTATAAAAGTTCGCGAGGAACACAATGGTGCCACTGGTTTTCTCTGAAATCATCTTCCATGCTCAAAAAAACCTCTCGAGTTGAGGCCAAANTTCAGTATTTTTCATGAAGGATGTGTAATTTTTGCAGGTAATCAACTGGGAAAGCACACTGATGATACCAGCAGCAGCTAATGTTTCGCCAGAAGGTACGGATCTAATCCTGAAGCTATGTACATCGGCTGAAAGGAGGCTTGGTAAGGATGCGAAAGAAGTGAAGGCGCACCCGTTCTTCTCATCCGTTGACTTTGAGAAAGGCGTGAGGCGTTTAACTCCCCCGCATATCCCACGGATACAGTACTCCACTGACACGTCCAATTTTGATCCTGTGGACCCAGAGCGGCTCCGTAATTCAGAATCATCTGACTCTGGCAAGTCGGACGAACTCACGGATAGTGGAAAGCCATTCCACGGGTTCTTTGAATTCACGTTCAGGCGGTTCTTTGACGATGGCGGTGGTGCGCCGTATCCAAATAAAATTAGTCTTGATGATAATGATAATCAAGGTGCTGTCTATGTTTGATAATGACTGTTCGGAGCTTAAAGCTGAGTTTTTCTGCACCGCAGTTTTGCCGCAAGGAGCAGAAAGTATCCAAGTCTAATCTCGAATGTTGACTTTGTTGCTTTTAGTCTGTTTGGCAACACTGCGCAGGATGCAGAGCCTAATCTGATAGGATGACAATTCATGAGTTTCTCGACTAAGTCATGAACTTTGTGGACTCTTGACCTCGGGAAGATTCTGAATCTACTACATAGAAATAAAGTGCATAGGCAATGATAATATTCAAGTAGTCATTCTCACAAGCAATTTTTATTTGCTTGTCGCAATCCAAATGCTATTCAAGATGTATTTTCCTTAAATATTTTGCAGTTTTTACACATTGTCTCTGCATTGCGGACAGAAATAAAAAGCAAGCACATCAGATTTTGTTGCTCGTTTGATATCCATGTTTATTTCCTGCAATTTAAGTGATAAAATATTTGATTATTTTAACATTTTTTATCAATGCCATCTGGTATATGTTTAAAAATTTGTACATGGAATTTGGCAGGCACAAAATCAGCAAGTGTCACAATTAGATTTCATCAATGATGTGTTTTTGTCAAATAATCCTTCAATCTGAGTATTGAAATAACGAGTTTGTCTGATCGATGAGACTGGAATACGATGAAGATTGGCCATGTTGATTGGACGATGAGCACATCCTGTACCCTGTATTGGGTCAAAAAATCAACTAGCCAACGGCACCTCCTGCTGGCTGATAACCAGTTGAGTATTTGGCCTGTTTTAAGATCGCAATGGGGTTGCCCAACGTCTGATTGTTGACAACACAGCCAACATCTCCAACTAGTGACATAGCTAATCTGGTCTCATCCACCACACAAACCCACAATTTCAATAATCAACCTGCCGTTCTTCCTAAACAATTTGCAACTTGTTTCCCTAAATTGATGTGAAAAAATCCTCACAATTGCAAATGTTAGCATTCACACCATCAAAATTCCATCTAATTTACATAGTAGAATCTTGCTCCACTTGACGAATGTGGGCTGTGGGTCTCGGAATCTTATCCTGCTTAGCATTTCCCAAAATTTTAAGTCTCCATCAAGCTCTGCATCCTTAATCAGTGGCTTTATGTCAGTGTTTTGTCGTTAACGTTGCTTCTGGTGGTTCTGGTTCGCGTCCTTTTAGAAAGGGCCGGCAGAGCTGCTGCGAGTGGTATATAGTCAGGGAGAAATACAAAAATAAAAGGGTTTGACCCGAAACAAATCGCGCAACAAACTTTTCCTATGTAAATGTCATCAGTAGGTTCTCCTGAACCACATCCTAAAATTTTACCATAGTCCGATCCCGGAACACCCCCCCCCCCAAAATGCCTGAAACTCAAAATGGTGGCCGTAATGAGACCGAATGGGATTTCGGTATTTTAAAATGTTCCTATAGTGTCATGTGGGGTATCATTTTCTATGTAATTCTGGTCGCAGATTTCCAATATGAAGTCAAAAAATTACATAGGAAATGATACCCCACATGACACTATAGGAGCATTTTAAAATACCGAAATCCCATATGGTCTTATTATGGCCGCCATTTTGAGTTTTAGGCATTTTGGGGGGTGCTCCGGGGTCGTACCATGGTAAACTTTTTAGGATGTTGTTCAGGAGGACGTACTGATGACTTTACGTCGGTAAAGTTTGTTATGCAATTTGTTCCGAGTCAAACCGTATTTCTCCCCGACTAATACCCCCTTTTCTTTTCTGTGATTTTCAGCTTCTTGGAAGCAAATAAGTGAATATTTTACGGCCATGCCAAGTTATATTTGGCTTTCATTCGTGTACAGTTTATCTGTATTTTTCAGAGTTTATTTTATTTATTTGTTCATTACTGTTTGTGTTTATTTATCTTCTTCTTCTATTTTTCTCCTATCATTTTTCAAACGGTGGGGAAATAGCAATGTTAAATTGAAATATTTGCCTACCGTGTCTTTTCGGTGTTTGCCAATTTTATCAAACACAAATCCACAAGCTACTACGCGGTTTTCTGTTAATTACGTCTCATGCCCAGGCAGTTGTATTGTCTGACTACTACTTTTAATCGAACACAGTTGCTATATGATGAAATAATAGTTTGGACATTATTGTCCTAAAATTTTCATAATTTTTCCTCCTGTTTCATGAATTTCAGGGTATAAATCTGTACCTTAACTTTTATAATTGACAACAATTCAAAGTGCCGGCTTTATGTTAATCAGATACCCATGAAGTGAGGAAGGAATATTTTTAGAAATTTCATTGATTTCTCTTCACACTTCAAGGTTATTTTATTTACCCTAAGGGCCGTCAAATGAAATGTTAACAACCATCCTTAAACAGAGCAATGTGTTTTATCTTCCCATAATAAATGGAATTAATTGTAGTGGCCTTTTAAAAAAAACTTATTCTGGGCAAATTAATCAAGAAAACTGCCATCTTAATTATCCAAGTCAAATCACTGTAGAATTCTCACCCTCTTTACAGCTCACTCATTTTTCTATTAATAATAACCTCGCGAGTCATGTGTCTCACGCATGTAAGTTTTTCTGATGAGTCTGACCATTCTCATTGGAAGATCATCCTTTTTTCGCATTATCCCCAAAGAATCTCTCCATAGATCTAGCAAATTATTTTTTACTGTACTCTTTATTTTTCATCCATTTTTGCAACCTAATAGTGCCTTAACTTACTGAAATTTGTAACTATTTTACTCAATATCAATATTGCCAACGCAAGTCTCAAGAATTCTTGGCTTCTTTTCTATACTGTTGTGTATTTATTTAGTCTACGATATTCTGTTCCGCTGACCGATTGTCTTCTTTGGCGCTCTAGTAGCGTTTGATATGAAGTCCTTACAATCTTTTGTTCTTGTTTTGTGCCTTTCGATTTTAACTAAGCTGAAGACTGCACTTTCTATCCCCTTTGATACCATTTTATGTTAAAATTCAGCTATCCTACTAATAAAAAGTTAAATTCAAATTTTTGGAGCTTTACGACAGCAGACCACAAACTAGTAAACCTTGTGCCTTGAATTTTGAGCGTTATTTTATTTTGACGTAGCATACTCGTCATCATTGCAAATATAGAATCAATAACTTAGGTGTACTTGGGTTTCATTATAAAGCCCATTTGTTTTAAATGTAATAATTTTTGACATTTACAATTCAGGACCAATTTCCCATATCCGAAACTGTACATCTATTTAATGCTTTTTGATTGATGATTTTTAAATCTACTTTTATAAATTATTTAAAAATGTAATATTTTATTATAGAAATCGGTAATAACTTTGTAACTTCTGACAACTCATGTATCCAATTGGTAAGAAATTTTGTCTGAATGCAGTTTTAACACAAATGAAATGTAGCTTTTTATGAGCTTGAATTTGATTGAGCAATCGAATATGAAGGTCTACAGGCTGAGGGGCCGGAGTTCATGGAAGCCAAATTTTCAGAGGACAATGCTTTTCAAGTTAGGGAAAATTGAATACTGAGTTTTGAGCCAGAAACACTCCAGTATCGTTAAAAATAATTACCATTCTGTTTAAAATTCCCTTCTGTATCCATTGAAGGCCATGAGTTTCTTTAAAGGCATCATTTTTTTTTAGTTCCAAAGGCAGCCTAAAATTTTAAATACTGTTTTCCTAAAACCACATTCATTGAACTGTAAACCTCAAACCATCATACCCCTCGATCTTTTCAACTTATTAATGTGACTTGTGTCAAAGTGAGACATATTTTGTCCGGAAGCATCACTCAGAACAGTTTCTGAAGAAAGCAGTAATCGTATTTTGTTTGAAGTTGTTTTGTGCTGTGGGAGCTGGGCTTAATTTTGATTGCAAAAGGGAAATCCTGATGTAACAATTTCTGTGCAACAACTGCAGTGTGCCCAGGGGGACATATTTCTGTTTTTTCCCAAAACAATGACGAAAAACACTGTTTTTTATTGCATCCTTAAATGTTGCCCTCTCATAAGCTGTTCAAAATCAAAATCAAAAGAAAAGAGAAGAGGGAAAAGGAAGAAAGAAAACAGCAACACTTCTTTGTTTCCAACTAAATACCTAATTATTTGTATGTCATTCCTCAAAGCAGTGGTGCCGTTGTTATCTTGAGTCTTTTTGCCCCAACATCCGTTCGCCTGTGGACCATCACAAAACCTGATTGAATCAGTTATATCTATGCTATAAGCATGTTTCATAGCTCCCTGAAAACTCTGCACTCGTCTAATAAACATCTAATTTAAAGTGGCATAAGTGATAAATAAAAACAATCAATATTGAGGGTTTATTGAGGATTATTTAATTTGTTAATTGTGTCTGTATAGTCTCCTAGCGGGAGCTGTAAGTTTATCTTCCTAATCATTTTTATAAAAGTGTTGCTCTAGGCTGTTGAAAATTCAAAGTCAACCACTTTTTTCTGGGAGTTGTTCTCCTCTTCTTTCTGTGAAAAGTTTTTCCAATAATTTTTTACCGTTTGCTTGATTTTTGGTCTGAAACTTAAATTCAAACTTTATCATATAAACTTAGGAATATGTCAACTTTTTGTAAATCCAAGCAATTCTAAAATGGTGAAGATTTTTATTCCGTACTATTTTTTGAAGACGTATAAAAACAGATGCATGTTTTTACCTTCACTACTGCCGAAAATGAAACTTTCAAATTTTAGTCATTTAGATAGTCGGAAGTTTCTCGTTGTTTTCTCTTTCAAAGATAAATTATAATTATTTTTTTCCTAGGATTCTTTATATCATTGTTTTCTTTAAGTGTAAAATATTTCTGCAACATATGTTTTAATCATTCACACCAAGTAGGCTAAAAAAACTGATATTGCCAGTTTTTGAATGAGTTTTCCCCATCGGTTTTTGCCCTGCTTCCCATAACCCATCAACACAGAAAATCATAATTTATGAGCGTATTTTTGTGAATTTATCAGATTTTTCAAGCAGAAACTACTGTTGTGTCAATATTCATCTGTTTTTTTGACAGACGTTGCAAAGCTTATCGACAAAGTAGGACAATATCATCTGCGAGCATTCTGTATGTTGCGCAAGGAGGCAGAAAATTTTTGAATGAAGCTATCATCTTCAATCATATTTCCAATGGGCCAAAAAGGATATATTTACATCGGCTAAATTGGTAGTGTTACTGTATGTTAATCCTTTGTTACAGTCACATGCACTTAAAATTTGCGTCTCTAGGATCGACCCTTTTTGTTACACTACCATCAGTTCGGCCCTGATTTTCTTCCTCTTGCTTTGCTTTCTTTGCACCCTCTGCCAAAAGTATTTTCTCTTCCCTTCTTCCCCTCGTAATTTTTTAGCCTAATTTATAAGAATTGCTAATATTGTATTGTAATTCTGTGGCGAGCATTCAGAGGTACTAATCCATTGGAATTTTCTTCGTTTGTTGTGTGAACTGGAAAGAAATGAAAAGATATCGGTTCATCTTGTATTGATGCTGTTGCGTAACTACTAAGTAGAGTAGAAGAACATTTTAAAAGAAGCACAAACTTGTCTGAATTATCAAAAACTCTTTCGTGTGCATCTATATTTCGTGAAAAGAAAACTTTTCTTAAGTGGTTGATCAGCGAAGCATGATTGTGTCATCTGATCATTACAATATTTTTTCAATCAAAAATATTTGTACCCCTGTCAATTTGTTTAAGACTGCTTCCAAGTTCAAGGGGTAGCAGAATATTCAAGGTTGAGAAAGAACAGTTGAACAATTATTTTTTCTTATCTAAATGCGAATTATATGATAGAAGATTTAGCCTGCTTGATTAATGAAAGAATAGTGGTTTGAATTGCAATTCGAAGCTGGCGACTGAATCGTTCAATGACAGTTAAGTATGACATCATGGACATCTCCAACTGCTCGCCACGGAACTATGCTGAAGCCAAATTAATTTTAAGTTAGTTGATTAGTGTATTTGTTTAACAATTATTTTATTTAACTTTTTTTTATCTGCAGACTACGGCATTTAAAAATGTCCATCACATTTAGATAACACTATTGGAGGCAGTTCCCAAGTCGAAATTCTTTTCTGCTTCTACTTCAAACTTTTCAAAAGTGGTCATTTTTTGTAATTTTTCCCAAAGCTGTCTTTTATTGCTAGCCTGGCTCTCAACGGTGTTTAAATTTTTCAGTCTCTTAATAGTTCAATCTTTTAAAGCATCATTGTAACTCAGTCAAGATTTTCTCGAAAGATAAGAGGATTATCACTCTTGTGATTTGTTGATGCAACTGCCTGAAACCAAAAATTAAATATTTTCATCTCTTCATTCTTTATCCTCTTTACTCGATCGAAGGTTCTCATTTTTTCTTTTCTCTCTTCCTTTCTTTTCTTCCTTATCTTTTCATCTGTCAATATTCTCTCATTATATTCTAGAAATAACCGCAACTACTACAAGATTAGTTCTACATTTGCTGTTTCGCATTAAGCTCTGCAAAGCAAGACTTCTGAATCTGAACATTTGCTGTTTAAACTTAACAACTTTTTCTTTTGATTCTTAATTTACGCTACCATTTTAACAATTCTTATCTTTATCTCAAGCTCCATATAGAACTGAAATTTTTGGTCGTTGAGGGACATGTTTATCATTCAATCGAAGTTCATTGTTTAAGTTGATTTTAGAGCATTAGAAGCCAAGTAAAATTGAAAAATTAGAAGATTGTCAGGAGCTTTTACTTTGATTCACCCTGAGGTTTGATTGTGGTCTCATCGGTCTTGAATGTATCCCAGCAGTGGGATCAAACATCTCTGCATTTGAGTCTTATGAAGGAAATGAGGCAACACTGCCATGCTAAGGAAAACGCCACGCTGGCTGAACCTTTGGACACTTCCAAATTTTCTATGATAAAATTCGAATTTTCTGAAAAACTTTGAAGTATATTTGTTCTAATTTTTCAGAAAATTTGGTTTGCATTTTAATCGCAAGTACCTGACAATTTGAAGGAATAATAATCATATTCTTTCTCAAAAATGATCATTTTATTGAGGAAAGTTTGGCAGCTTTTAAAGGTTTATACGGAGTTTTTCCTTAGCATGGCAGAATAGTCCTTCTTTGTGAGTTTTAAAAGTTATGTGCAGTGAAAAACCTGAAAACTAAAGGAATTAAATGAGGATTTGCCTTTTGCATTCAAGAAAGGAATTTAATGCAGTATCAAATTCAATATATTTTACCAACAAATCCTGCTCTATTTTTTTTCTTTTCTTTTTTTTTTTATTGGGTGCAAATTGTAAGCAATTCTTTGAATTCATAAGCAAGTAGTAATGACATTTTTGCATTAAACTGAAAATTCATCGCAGTTTTTCTTGCAACTCCTGGGATACATTTAAGGCCAGCTCATCTGCAATAGGATCCCGAAATGAATTGCATGAAATTTCAGATGTTCCTGTATTACCCTCTTGATCGGGCTTCTAATAATTACAAATTGATTTTGAATTTAGCGACACAGTTACGAAAAGTTGGCTCTCATTCATAGCTGAGATTTGCATGAAATAGAATATTCATCAATATAGCAGAACAATCGTTCTTTTTTTTTGCGCTCTGTTTTCCTAATTTACATTTGATTGATAGTTTAATGCTATTGTAGTCTTTATTTTGTTGTGTTTTGCCTTGTTGTCGTTTTTGTTGTTTTCCTTATCCATCGTCTGTATACAAAATTAGGGGTCCCGTGTTTTCTAAGCAGCCGATTCCTTTCATTTCTTTCTTGTTAATGCAATGACACCGGTATTTAGCTCTCTGCTGCGATCAGCCACAGTGACGGGATCTCACTGTTGGCTTATGAAAGTTTGAAAAATATCCTTCTTCTCCCCCTCCTCTATTGTGAAAGTGAATTGTCTGCCTAGTGCCTTGTGAAACCGTGCTTTTTAAAAGATGGTTTAAAATCGACTGATAATTTAGCTTTGTTCTCTAGTAATAGTACTTGTTTTCGCAACACGCAGCGCGTGTTTTGATGCTTGTTTATTTCATTCTATCGTGAGCAGCAGCTTGCAAAAGCCAGGTTGATGTATTGAGTGATGTTCCATCATCTGTTAAATCAGTCTCGTTGTAAACTCTGACTACCTATCCCACGATTTTTAACATGAATTTTTGAAAGATCCTATGTTTTTTATAAGGAGCAGCAGTTATCTGACTCTTTATTTTTTTTAAAGTAGGTGCAATGTTCGATTCTCTTCGAAAGTGTTAAAACAAGAATTGACTGTACTTGACCGGGCATTTGCCATAGTTTTCAGTGGTCATCGTTAATTTTTAGCTTCTGTCAGATTTGTCTCTTAGTTTCTCTTTTGGTCTCATTTGCTCTTTGCAGATTAATTGTCGTCACTCTCTGATTACGGAACATCACTCATTAGATTCATCTGTTGTTTTCTCTCTAATTGTGAACCGTTTTATAATGGCTCCAGTTTTTTATTCTAGCTCAAATATTGGATCGTCCAGCCTTTTTTCTCTGTTTCTCACAGAGGTTCTTATTGCCACTTGTTGATTCTTTATTTCTCATCCTTTTTTCCCCCTCCCACTTCCGGTTGCAAGAAAAAAAACCCTTTCTTGTATGAAGCCGGTATTAGAACCTCTGTAAATAAACGCTTTTGCCTGTTTTGAAAGATAGTTCTGTTTATCACTGTTTTAACTTATTTTTGAGACTAATAAAACCTGTACATTTTCTGATATTACTAATTAATAATATCGTTATGACAAGTATATATTTTGTGTTCATGATGCATATTTTACAAAGTGTAAATAAATGTGTAGGTAGTTGATTTATTTTTTTCACTTGTACACTCTTATCAGTATAAAAAATTTAAGAAAACTGAAAAAAAGGGGGAAAAATGGTAATATTTAATGAAAAAGTAAATGAATGAAAAATGAGATTTTTTATGTAAAGATGAAGACGTTTTTATTTTTTACTTAAATTCTCTATCGCGTTATAATGGCTGTGAAAAATGTATTGCAGTTATCGTGTTTCAAATATCGTTTAACAAGCCTTCGTCTATGTTAGCTGACAACAGATTTGTGTAATATATTTGTCAAACTTGTAAGATTAGTTCATCAAATATTCTTGTTTACTATTACTCAAGCGCTGTAGTGAATTATGTTCTAAGTTTTAATTTTAGAAATGGTGATAAAATTATTACTAATCCTCTGTATAAACTAAAGAAGTTATAGTAAATGAAAGTATAAAATTATATCCTTTGTTCTTTCTTAAGAATAGTGCCTTTTAACTAGTCCATTATCAAATACCATTCCTGCCAAAAAAAAATTTGTGACCAGGGAAAAGGGACCTTATTGCAGGGAGAACACTTTCTTTAATGTTGCGAATACGTACCAGGTAAAAAAAATCTGGAAATGATGATGCAACTTTTACCCTAAAATCTTGAAAATTGAAGAAGAAGAAATTACTCCTGCGAAGTTCTAAGACAAAAATTCTACAGCTGTAGAAAAACGTGGTTCAAGCGCTTCTACAAAGTTAGGGAGAATATCTTTTTGGAAGATAAAATCGGTACCAGGTAAAAAAATCTGGAAATTATGATGCAACTTTTACCCTAAAATCTTGAAAATTGAAGAAGAAGAAATTACTACTGCGAAGTTCCAAGACAAAAATTCTACAGCTGTAGAAAAACGTGGTTCAAGCGCTTCTACAAAGTTAGGGAGAATTTCTTTTCGGAAGATAAAATCCCTTTTGACCGATTTAGTCAGATTTTAACTTAACTTATGCATCAAACAGTTTAAACATTTCTTAAAAGTGGCAGTCCCATTTATCAAACTCATCAAAGTTGTTACAATCGTGACTGTCAGGTTGTCAAACTTGGAATGGCAAGCAAAGAATGGGCTCTTTTGAGCTCATGTACTTTATTGGCAATGAGACTCTCAGTTGATTGAACTGGCTGTTTTTTGCGTTTGAGTGAGTAAGCAAATTGCAGAAGTAACCCAAGAAGCATTTTGTAACTTAACTGTTTCATTAAATTGCAATAATATTGTAACAAATTTTTTGAAATATTCTTGTTATTTTCGTTCAACATTTGGCACAATTCTTTTTGTAATTGAGAAAATGTCATTGCGGAAACATTAAAAGCTTTCAGGGCCTCAAAGATTGAAATTTTTTTGGAAAGAGGGTTAGTTGAAAAAGCATCAAACATTTTGTAATCGAATTTTAATCCCAATTTTTGAAGGGTTTGGCTGGAAAAAGTGAAGAAGGGGATGGAAGATATACCAACAACCCCAAGTATTTTTCCTTTTATAAAATAAAAAAATAGATGTAATTCTTCATGGTCTGAGAACAAAAAACCAATGAAAGATTTTGCTGTTTCATTACCAATGTTCCTACACAATAAATAATTCATTCAATGTTTGCAGCAGAAAGTGTGTATCTACATCATCCAAAAAAAAACCGAGATGAATCCCAGCAAAGGCCCTCTTAATTTTTTGCCATTATCATTATCTTAAAATTTTTCAATTCAGAACTACAATTTCTGGCTCCATCCAGAAACAACATATGTACCATTAGTTTCCCTATGCACATGAGTGTTTTTAAGGATGAGCTAGAAATTGTAGTTCTTTATTACAAAACGTACAAAGGAAAGAGCCATCTTCAGAATGCCCTTACCCTTCCTAGCTTACTTTTTAAAAGGTGTGAAAAGTGACATATGGCTCCGACGAACAAAATTGCTCCTTCCACACAATATTTTCATTGTGGAAGCATGGACTCTTATCGGAGGGCGTACGTAATCGGATAATCAAAAAATTCTTTGTACGTGGTGTATTATTACATTATTCCTTTGACGAGGGTGCATTTTTGAAGATCATCCCAGCAATTTAACTTATTGCTAGGATTGAAATTTGGCGCCTGTGCGTACTACTCGCACCAGTCGTACCCACGAGTTTCTACCTCCACCACGATTCAAAATCGGTCTTAGGTATATCAAGTTTGTCGTGGCAGACAGATCAATGGTCAAATTTCAATGAAATCTATAAAAAAAATTATTGGATCTCCTCCGGGTTAGCACTCACGCCAAAGTAAAGCAAAATTATGCAAGAAATTATTCAACTCCCTACCCGGTTAGGCTGGTTCATTTTTTTCAGATGTTGGTCCAAGTTGCAAACCTGTGTAAACAAGGAAGAAGAAGAAGAACAAAGGGGTAATTTTTGTCCGCAGCCGCACGTTTCCAGGTTTCTTCTCGACTCGCGTAACCATCAACCCGTCTCTTTTCTACGTTGCGATTATTTTTCATCGAATTTTTGCTGAAATTTCTTTATTCTGAATGTTCCGTATGCATTTATGTAGCTGCCCGTCGTAGTAACCTATGTCTGTTCCATGTTGGCCACGAGATTGCCGATGAAGAGTACTGACTTGGCCACGAGTTAGCCGGTTTCACGTTTCCGAATTATTCAGCCCCATCATGAATAAAGATAAATTTCCGTACGCTTGTTGCAATTGCAAGCAGAGTTTCAGCATAGTTCGAAGTAAGTATTCTCAGTATTTTCAGACCTTGTTGCACTCCTGTCAGTTGTGGGTTCCGAGCCCTCCTTCGCTCAAATCCTGGCCACTTGTAGTCAAACTGCGGAAACATTGGTGGTGGATTAATTTATCCAGTGGAGTTTCCTCCTTACAGATGAAAACGAAAAGATAAAGAAATGGAAATCGGGGTATTGTGTTTTGTAAACGCATAGGGTGTTGCAACGCCTACTTACCTCCCGTCTAATACCGGTATTGGGAGCATCAGTCAATAGCCGCCTCAAGAGTGAATATCACTGAAGTCTCATTTTGTCATGAGCTGTAACTAGCATTTAATGCTATTGATTACTCAGGATTCAATATTTTTACAGCCCCTCCTTCTTGATTTTATTGGATTACATAAATAATCTGCGCTTTTCATTTTTTATCAATTCACGTTGCATTCAGGGATATACCAAACAGAATTGAATATTTTACTTCGTCATTCTGTTTCTAAGCCCAAGACTTCAGTCAGAATTTTCTGCTGTTCAAGCTGTGAGCTTTGTTCCTATATTAGTAGTCCACTCAGCACACCCAGTGTACGTCTGTCTTTTTATGTCATTTTGATACGGAGTTTTAATTTTTTAAAATGGTAATTGAATACCTATTCAAGCAAGAGCTCAAAATTTCTTTTGCCATCATACCTCTGTGTAATAGAGCTCGCGCATTGTATGTTGAGACAAACGTCAATCTCTGATCAACTTCGAATTAGCACCACTCAACAGGTTACTACATGCTTCAGATGTTACCACTGATTAGTGTTAGCTTAAACAAAACTTTGACATTTGTCTCAACATACGATGCGTAAGCTCTAGAAGTATTATAAGTTCATGATCCTGAAATGTGCTTCTCCAGCCCTAGGTTTTGTGTCTCTTTACATTATTCTTTGTGTTCAAGGTCCCCGCCCTGGATTCACCCCACGGAATCCTCTTCTTATGAAGTGTGGTCATGCTATATGCGAAGTCTGTGTTAAAAATGGTCTCAAAAACAACACTGTCATGTGCAGCAAATGTGCTACAACCACTACTGCTAGGTTAGTGTAAGCAACAGTGATCACTTGAAAAAAGATGTGTTGACTGAAAGAAAAAATTAGTTTTTGAATTTGAGGATAGCTTAGTTATTTCTTTGTATTCATCTCCAGTTTTATATGCTTCTGAAAAACCGGGAAAGCTGAAGTAGGAATGTCGTAAGTTACCTAGAATGTGTAAGAGATTCAGGGAAACTCTGATTCCCAAGTTTAATTTCACTTTGAAGTGTTGAAGTCATGTAGGTGGGCAAGCCTTCTTAACAAGGAAGTATAGCATAGCTCTGTACCTTAATATGCACTTGGCAGGAGAGATTGTCAATTGAATAATTGAAGTTCTGGGTGCAGAAATGTCACTTTTCAGTCGGGAAGTCCCAGAATCTTTGCTGACATTTCATAAATTAAGATAAAAGCCAATACATATAATTCTTCGAAACTATATTGAATACTTCCCATGATTTTATAATTCTCTTTACAAAATATCTAAGAAAATTCACCCCCTAGTTTCCTCTCCAAATTATGAATCACCTAGGTAGATACGGAGATTCTGATACGCTGCGACCGAGAAGTGCTCTCCCAACACACAATCTGTGAATTGCTCGAATTTCATTGTCATAATCAATAGATCACCTGAAAGAGTTCAAATGCTGTATTTTTCATTTTCAAAATTTTAATCGCTTTTCGTCTTTTTCAGAGATGGTTTTAATAATGACTTCATGAGGAAAGAGTTTCCTTATTTTAAATACTTATATGGTATATGGACTTTGCGCAATTTCTATGATGACTGCAACATTAGTTTCAACATGAATCCCCAGAGGAGAGCTCCCATCTCAGAACCCAAGTTTGGTAAGTAACTCTTTGCCACTCAATGACACTCACCCTTTTTATCTATAAAAGCAGGCTCAATTTAAATGCCATGCTCAGAATTGTATCCACGAGAACTTGAATATCTGAGAAAAGAGGTCTCCTGCATCGTATGCAGAACTTATTACAGGACCGACTCAAATAAATCGAAACATCATCATTGTCCCCTTCAGAATACTCTTAAAGAAAAGATAGAGATTTCTATATAAAACTAAATACAAAATGGACCCAAATAAATCAAAATATCATCATTGCCCCCTTCAGAATACTCTTAAAGATAGAGATTTCTATCCCCCCCCCCCCNCCAAAAATGTTTTCAAGAAGGCTAGAATTTTTATGTCGTACAATATTCATGAAGTATATATTCGTGAAGTATGGCCGATGAAACAGCGGACCCAGGAGGCTTTAGAGGCAACAGAGATGAACTTCTGGCGTAGATCCGCTGGTATTTCCAGAAGGGATCGCGTCAGGAATGAGACGGTACGGGAGATTGTGGATGCCAAGCAGACCATCGTGCATGACATTTTGACAAAACAACTCATTTGGTATGGTCATGTCCAGAGAATGGCAGGAGACAGGTCGCCGAAGAAGGTCCTTGACTGGGTTCCTCCTGGGAGAAGACGCAGAGGGCGCCCAATGAAAGAATGGAGGGAAGGGATTGAAGCGGAAATGTTAAGGTGCTCAATCCCCCAAGATTTGTGGTTTGAAAGAAAGCAGTGGAGGTTAGGAGTCGTAGAGCACGAGGGAGTGCTGTAAAGCGATATATATATATGCAATATTCATATCGCTACTGTTTTTTTTTTATTGTAGGAATTTATCAAAATATTATAAATGAATGGATTAGTCCACCAGGAAAAGGCAAATTGACTTTTCAAAACAGTAGTGATATGGGTAAGTTCAAGTCATGTGTGTCTTTACTTATCTTAATTTGCACAAAAAAATTCACCGTTAGCCCTATGAAATAATCAAACAATCCGTGTTAATGCAGTTTCCTCTAATTGAAAGTCACTAATTTTGGTTAGCTCAAATTTTGATTAGTTGAATGAAATAATGGGGCATTGGTTACAACGATTACTAGTTTCGGGGAAGTATCACAAGTGCCCGAGGTAGTTGCCAAGTTTTCACTGTCATGATAACTGTGTCAGATTATCTGTTTGAAAATCTCACTAAATTTTCTTCATATTGACTGTAATATTTGGTGAATTTTTTTTAAAAAAAAAAAAAAAAAAAAAAAATGTCCGTTGCTTTTCCTGTGAAAGTAAGGAAGCGTTGGCATAATTCAATTTTACAAGGAAAGAGGCGTAACGAGGTCTTGAGCCTCTCCAGGGTGGTTTGAAGCACAACCTCAAGCATCAAAAATCTGCATTGTAAATGAAGTAATGTTAAGTAATGCTTCACTTTAAAACAAAAACTAAATATTTAGGTCAAAGATAAAAATCTACTTTTCAATTGCCTTTATCTCAACGAATTGTTCCCTCTGACATGAAGAAAACCTGCACCTCCTCAACTAGCTTTGATATTGTAAAAGACAGGTAAAGTGTCCATTTGAAAGATTTTTGCCATAAGTGTACGAATGCGTAAATACTTATACTTGAAGAAAAGCAGCTGGAATTTTTATAGTAAATTATTATGTTTTTTCTAGATTCCTGTTTTGACTGTCCTGCACCAGCGTTTTTTAAATGCGACCAATGTGAAGTGAATTACTGCAAAAGTTGTTTTGAGAAGGTAAGTCTGTTTTTCTTCTTTTTTGTTTCAATATTAATTTTTGTTCTGATAAGACTCAGCATTGATGTTTAAATTAGGAGAGTATGTGATTAGAGCTGATCTTTATCATTGATTCCTATCAAGTTATAATGAGAATGAGTTAACTACTCTGCAGCTGATGTAACAGTGAAACAATTCAATTTACTAAGTAAGGTTACTAGCTATGAATCTAAGAACCAGGGATTTATATTGTTAAAATAAAGAAAAAGAAACAAAAAAAATTGGTAAAGTTCCTGTGCAAAAATGGGTCTTTTTGCCCCTTTTTGGATACTTGAGCAGGTCAAAGATTCATGGTTGAGTCAAGCTTCATTTCTATCCAATCTCTTGTGGTTTTTATAGCAAATTTAAGGAATGTAAACATTCTTAGCCCTCCCTTTTTTTTAGGTCCTCCCATTTGAAAATCCTCTTTATCCTCAATAAACTCAAAATAATCAACTCTTTTCTCCCTGTATGCACAAAGTGCTATTTTATTACAATCAATACAGGCTTACTGCATTTTTGCCCAACACATCTGTTTTTACCTCAGTTTCATAGTGAATAAGCAATTTTTGTGCTGACCCATTATTTTGCCCGTCTCCCCATTTTTTTATAAGTCTGTTTCAGAGCTCTCTTATTTTTTTTGTCTGATTGTGACATGCCAGATGCATAGTCGAAAAGTCTGCAGCACTTTGAACGGATTTCAAGTTCTTGCCGCAGGGTCATTCCATATAGAACCCACCAGCCATGCAACCACCTGACTCGGATTTTGCTGATAAATTGTTCTCTTGATGAGACCACCAAGTAATGAACTTCTGCAAAATATTAGGTACACAACTCTTGGAAGTTCGAAACGCCGGTTTCTTGAAAATGCTTAAAACTTCATGAATTCATATCTCCGTGAGTTTTTCGATTTGAGACCTAACATTTTGCAGAAGTTTATTATTTGGTGGTCTGATCAAGAAAAAATTAATCAGCAAAATCCGAGTAGGGCGGTTGCATGGCTGGTAGGTTTTATATGGAATGACCCTGCGGTTATTTTTCCATAATCTTCTTTTTTTTTCATTCTTTGCAATACTTTTTTATCATTACGTTCAGTAGTAACATTTGTGTAGTTTTAAACTTGAAGTGAAAAGTAGACTTGATGTCTTTCACTTGGTGACCGTTAGAAGAACTTACTTTATCGAGTCGTAGCACGAATGAGGTCTCTTGGATCCATTCAGTCGCTCATATTGATTACATTTTTTTGTTATATTTTTGCATTCAATTATAGTGTTGGCATGATTTTGGCGGTTCTGCAGCTTTACTCAATTTGGCACACCTACATTGACAACTTTTTTTGTATTGTTTTGGCATTCAATTATGATGTTCGAAAATTATCAATCAAAATAATTTTCTTAATTCATCTGAAGAACTGTATGTACTAATTTTTTAGAAAGTTTCTGGCTCTCAATTCATCTGTAGTTTAATGCACTGTTTTTGAAAAAAAAAAAAAAAAAACTATTTTTCCTCTAACAATTTCTCTTTACGCATACCTACCTACTGCTCTTGCAATAATCACAATATCTTTGTAAAAATTTTCTTTTTTTTCTTGAAGCATTTGTCATTTTTGAAAAATCTCCTCTTTATAATTTCTTCTTTGTGTAGAAAGTAGAGAAATAAGGTTATAGGAAAAGTAATTTTTAATTTTCAAATGCACTCTTTTAAGCCTTCAAAGTTTTTTTTGAAAGTACTCATAAGTACCTTTAGGAGTCCTTGAAAGTCCTTGATTTTACCCATTGGAAGTTATTGAAAAGTCCTTAATTTTGTTCTTGGGAAGCTGCCACAAACCATGCAATCACTAACTCTGCCACCAATCACACCATCTTTAGAGCATCCGTGTCTAAAGCAATGATTTGTTCTCAGATTCATGTCACACAGCCTCAGTATATGACACATACAAAATCTAAGGCCAAACCTAGATATCAAGTGAAAAAGTTTGCAACACCAGCCAACTCTATGTGCAAACAGCATAACCAAGTCAAAGACTTCTATTGCAATGATCATGATGAGGCTATTTGCGCTCACTGTGCCATTTTTTCACATGGCGGACACAGAGTGGAGGCGCTTAACCAGAGGGTGAGTTTTATTTTTAGTGATGAACAACTTGTAAATTTTGCGTTTAAATTATCAAAGATGTCAAGAAACATCAAAATGTAGCAACTTAGACCAGACTCAAATCTCACTCCTAATGCAAGGAATACCAGNGGGGGGGGGGGGGGGAGGCAAAGGTTCCTAAAATGCCTGTGAAGAAAGACAATTTTGAAGTGCGTTTGTTCTCACGGTAAATTTTTTTTGTTTATTCCTTGCGTGAGAACGTACAAACATGCCCAGGTATCAATGCATGGGTTTCAGGGTTACACTTTTTCATGACTGTCCTGTAATGAGGAACTCTCTTTGTTTAGACTTCCACTGTTATTGACGCGAAAATTATGGAAAATCAACAAACGTGGCTGAAGATATGCTCTGTTATATCCTTCCTCCCTTCATTCTAGGAATGGCAATTAAATTCTTAGAGGCATAACTAAGGGTCAAAAAAAATAAAAAAAAAAGTAAAAAAAAAAAAATCCCACTAAACTTGTAGTTTTGAACATCATGCAAGACTTTGAGCCTATGATGTATCCTCAAGGCTTTACTTGACGGATTTATAATCTCTGAATTCCAAAATTTTTTCCCATAAATTAGATTCTCACATGATGCTGATTTAATTAGTGTCATCGTAAAACAAGATTAAAAATGGAGTATATCAAAGTTCCTGTCTCCGACCAAAGATATCCTGATTTTTAATCAAAACTTGCAATAACAAAGTTACTTTGAAGGGAAAAAATATATTGTTAGTGCAGGGATTTTTAAGGCATTTCAGTGACAATTGCTATCAGTGTTGGAAACTCATCTTTGAGTTTTAGGAGCTTTTTGGCTCATCTAGCTCGATTTTTAGGAATGAAGATTACATGAATGATTTACATTGAAGATTTTTTAAGGACCAAATTCTTTTTTTGCTTATATCACAGTGCATTCAGTGAAAAGTTAGACGCAAGATGTTTTAGTTACAGAAAAGTTACAGAACTAGTAGCTGTAACTTGGGGGAAATTTCGAAAAAAATCAACCCTATAGAAAAATTACGGTTTTTAAGGGGGGGGGAGTGATTTTTTAGGGGCCACATTGGCGCAGAGCCTTCATTTTTTAGGCGCCATGACCGATTTCTTAGGCACATTTGGCGCGTTGGCGCCTGTGAGTTTTGAACACTGATTGCTATTTCATCAAGGAAATCATTAAATCAGAGTTTCTTAAGTTTTATGTCAAGAAGAACCCTTCAACTTTCAGACATTCACTTTCAAAACACTGCAAGGACTGTCAGTAGTTCCTTTTCCTAAATTTTTTTTGTATTTTTGCAGAATGAAAAAATGATTCCGTTACTCCAAGAGTCTATGAGGAAAGCCATTGAAGTTGTTGCTAGAATCAACAGTGCACAAAAGGTATGTTAGATGTTTTTTTCATCAAGGGGAATGGGGGTATTTTTTCTTAGCTTTGATATTATATATTTTTTGATTTATAATATTTCCTCGTAGATGGTTTTGTAATGCTTTTTAACATCTAAGTAAACGGGTTACTCAAAATTTTGGTAAAGAAGAGGACTGCACTCCTGATTTCAACCGGAATATTTGTCTACAGGTTGTTTTAAAAATATTGGTTCATTCTAACAGCGTAAAATGTAGGAGCTGGTAGTCGCATTCTGGATTTTTATAATAAATAAATGCAATCGGTGAAGTTTAGGAACTGTATTTTTTACTGTACATTGTACATTAATTAGAAGGTAACACTTACTTTAAAACAGCTTATTACAATAATTTAAAAAATGAAAGGTTCAGTCCTTGGTAACAAAGTCAACAAACTAGTAAACGTTACTCCATTGCGTGGTAAAAAAACGAAGGGCTCCAGTTAGATATTTTCCCCCTTATCGTCTTATGGCTGGTGTCATAACATCTTATATTTGTAATTTGAATTCAATGGCATTGGACTGAAATATTCTGAAGACATCAACTCGAGGTAGTGGTGAGGTTTATGAAATTTACCAAAAATTATGAAAGTGAAACTAAGTTGAACTTTTCATGACCAAATCGGGCATCATTTTACATTGTATTGAATGTAAAGTCTGTTGTTTTTTGGTCGTCACTGGTAGGAAAGTGGGATTTTTTTTTTTTTATTTATTTTCCCCACAAATGGCACTTTTCAAACCCTCCTAGTTCTGTATTATGCGTAAATGTATGCAGCCTTAATCTTACTTTTCATATTTACATCTTTAAAATTACATTATCTCTTAAGTTAAAAACAAATTCAGTATAACAATGAATTTAGCACAGCCTTGTCGATTTAACGTTTCATGTTTGAAGGGCTTTTTTCACTGCATTGATGCAGTTTGTGGAACTGAGTCTTGAAGAGTGAATTTCCATTTAAATCTGTTTAGTGTCATCTTACTCAAATCATGTCCTTTGTTTTACATTGTAGGAATTATCTATCTCTATACGCAGTTTACTCAATATTTAATGTAATGTTACTGAAACATTTAGTATTATTTGTCAGTTTTGAAATCAATTTCCTGGGAAGTATTTTAGTTTGTCGCAAAGACTCTGCCAAAATTTTCTATGAAGAAATTATCACACTAATGTAATTCCTACTACATTATTTTCACTGACCTAAAATTGAAAAATGTTAAATAATTCTGTACAGACATTTGTTTAAAAAAAAAAAAAAAAAAACTATTTACAGGTCTTTCATTTGAGCTGCCACAGGTTTTAGAAAACAAGAACTGGAATGATCTCTCTTTTTAAAATGTGTACAAGAAATAAATACTAACAAAAACAGTGCTTTAGTAAATGAGAAAATTCTCGAAATACAAGACCAAATTTTGTGTGTGTCTAGAACAGCAAACAATTTTAAAAAATATGGCAGCTCTAAAATATGTACTCCTAACACACATTTACAATGAATGACTTAACGCTACTGTACAGCTAATGACTTATTTCTTATTAGAAAGTAGAAAGTGAGCCTTGAATCCACAACATGGATTCCGAAGCTAGTCTGTAAAAATGTAAAATTCCTAAAATGAGAAAACATTGAAGAATGACAATGGTTTCACTTCCCNCCCCCCCCCCCCCCCCCCCAAAAAAAAATTCAGATCTGTATTACCCCCCATAGCACTTATTTTCCCTTCATTCTTTTCCCATCCTATGAAACATTGAATGTTTTCCGTCAAATGCTCAAATTTTGATTTTTTATCCAACCTCACAAAAATTGCAGCACTGGATAATGTGATCTAGTACACTAAGGTATCTTTTTCTGTAGTCAATCACGTTTTATAGATTCTCTTTGATTGCACGGTACAACCGTTCAGTATGGCAAGGAGTGTAATTGTCAAAGTCTTGGCACTGATAATTTTGTGTGTTTGGTTTCAATGGCAATAATGGCATAGAGTATTCTGGAAGGTCAAATCATATCCGTGCTTATCATCGCCTTTGTAAAGTGGCCTGCTTTTTGACTCGAGCTATTTTCAGTCTTCTGATGGTAGTTTTTTCACAGGATTTGAGACTTCGGTAATTTTTTGATCAAGTGAGTTTTGATTTTTCATCGACATTGATGTGTTAGAAATATCAGCCTGTTCCGGGAGGATGGGTTTCAGCCAGTCATTGAGCAATGAAAGTATGATGGCCTTTTGATACTTCAAAGGAATATTTTTCGAACAGTTGCTCAAAGAGTAGTTAAATTTTCATACCCTCCACTAACCATCATAAAATTACTTCAGGTAACCTTTTCAAATTTTGCAGTGCAAAGAGCAATCAAATACTTCCATCAATATTTCATCAATACTCAGTCAGTTTTAAAATTTAAGAAGCCCTTGCATTTGCTCCATGAGTTTCTCGTCCAAGTGAAGTTTCAAACTGTTTCAGTGATGTAGAAATTGAATTTTATCTATGAGATAAATTCACTGTTCACAAAAGAAATTGTTTTATCAATCACGGTTTGAGCTGCTTTGATCATGTAAAGGTAACTCGTTATTTTCATACACTCCTGAGCTACGGTAATCAAGTCTGAGATCAGTCGTTTAACTTCAGAAGTCCTGCATTTGTCAGTTTGGCCTGTGAATTTTGAAACTAAGATTATCCTCAAATTTGTAGCAATGATGTTGGTAAGACCTTTAGATAACCACTTACCATTCTTATGACGTATTTACATTGCAGCAACCCAATAACATCAACGGTATTTAATGGTTTTAACTCATCAATGAACGAAAAGCTTTTATGTAGCCCAATTTTCATGACTCTAAGGTACAGAAGTTTATTCTATTCATTTATCGTCTTTGAATTTCATGTACATGATGTTACAATAGCATGTGGAGGTGGACTGTCTAGCAAGCCTTTCTCTCATTCTCAGTTTCAAAATTCGCAGACCAAACCTGCATTAGCAGGCTTTCATTTGATTTGTATACTTTTCTTGGTGAGGAAGTCTTCTAACGTGACTTGCTTATTGACATCTATCACCTGCGGCGGTTCCTTCTCCTTTTGTGCATTCTCGTGCATGGCAGTCTGGTTCTTTGCCTTCTCCTTCCGCTTCTTCTCAGCCTCCTGGAACTTGAGATGGATGTAGTTGTCAGCCTCTGGGCCAGAGTAATCCTCGGGGAAGCTAGGTTTCATTGGAAGAATGTATTTGTAAAGTCGCTCATTCAGAACGTAAAGTTGGGCTGTTGCATCGCATCGAACGTTGAACCACCAGTCGCACGTTAAAGCTTGCTGACTGAAAAGCGTGCCATTTGGGCAGAGGAAGGAAGCTTGGCCACCGTTCAAATCACAGTAGTGCCATACCTGTAATGAAAGGCAATGAAGAGCATTAAATCATTAGGGCATATTCGAAAAATAGTTAAGAATTTATATAGACTGTGCAGAAAAGGCATTTGAAAAATTGCAAATCGCAGTTTATCTTGAGTGAACTGTTTTTCTTACACATTTTCTATCCTTAGTTTAATGCTACCTTGTCCAAGATTGCGGCATGTAACTGAAGGCAAGGTAACTGAATTTGGCCGTTCAGCAGAAATACGTCCATTTATGAGTCAATTTTGAAAGTTTTTGACCTCATCGTGCCTTGCGTAGTATTTCGTTGTGAAAAGCCGTGCTGTAATGCTAAATTTCCTACCTTGTCTTGAGGTGAGCCTGAAAAGGAAAAGAAACTGACCTGACAGTTAGTATCGGGATCCCCGAAGAAGCCCTTGTACCTCTGCGTCTTGCAGCTGAACTTGGTGTGGGGGACGATGGAGAGGGCCGGGTAGTCGACGCCCGCCTTCCCAGGTGTGCCCCCCTCATCGTCGTCGGGCAACCCGGCGGCGGGCCCCGCGGGGAGACTCTCCTTCTCCTCCTCGAGGCTCTGCAGCGAGTTGTCGTCCGGGTCTTTCTCCAGGTAGCTGTAGATGGCCTTCATGCTCACCGGCAATCGCGGCTGGTACAGCGCGTTCGCCCGCTGCAGCGTCTGCAGGATCTGAGCCAGCCCCTGCACGCCACCGTTCTTCGGGGCTTTGGGCAGTCCCTGGTAGGCAGGCAACCCCTCGTGCTTCGGCGCCTGGTAGGTAGGCAGCTCTTCGTGCTTCGGCGCTTCGTAGGTAGGCAGCTCCTCGTCCTTCGGTGCCTGGTAGGTAGGCAAAACCTGAAATAATCAAATGTTACTTTATCTGTGATAATGTGAATGTGTCCGAATGGGGTCAAGAAACGTTCAAAAAAAGACGACAATGATATCAGAAAAAAGGTATCACAAATCAATGTATCTTCAACTCATACAATTTCTGCTAATCCTCTATTTCCCACAGAATACTAACCCCCTAAAACTACATAACGCTTCTATCCTCTTAAACCTATTATATTTATAAAAATCACCCTCCTATTATTCTCAGCTCCCATCCAAGGCCGCAGTATCTCTCAGATAAAACGCCTCAAAACCATATATCGACGGTGTAAGTCGGCAATCACATAACTCGGTTTGCGACGTCGCAGACTTCCTGTCATACTTTATTTTTTAAACGGAAAACTACTCGACGGATATTCTTTAAACCTGCCGTGATTTTTCTTCTCTGTTCGGAGAAAATTCTGCAAAAACTTCGAGGAATGTTGTCAATTTGCTCTCTTTTAAAAAAATAACATAGAAGCGAAGATTTTCGGACACAGCAAACGAGATATGTGATTGCCGACTTACACCGTGAATATGCACTAAAAAAAGAGGACAATGATTCTTTTTGTGGAATTTATGGAAGTGCTGAATGATAAGCTTTCCTCGAGCTACTTGAGTGGCAATGAATAAATTAAGAGTGATTTGGCACTCACCTCATGCTTTGGCGTTTGATAGGTAGGCAGCTCCTCGTGCTTGGGTGCTTGGTAGGTAGGCAACACGTTGTGCTTGGGCGCCTGGTAGGTAGGCAACGCGTTTAGCAGTTTGTGTTGCGAGTAGTATTCGGCGGTGAGCTTGTCGACGTCGGGTTTCTGGATCTCGGGCTCCGCGTAGTCAGAGAGGGTGGCGTCCCGCTGAGGCGCGTATGTCGGCGCGTAGGTTGGCGCGTAGGTGGGCACGTATTTTAGGACGTATTTAACGTCCGGCCGTTGGGATTGGTTGTATTGTTTGATTTGCTGCCTCTGGGGCGCCTCAGAGTTGTCGAACTGAGGTCGGTTCAGGGTCTTGAAATGAGTAACTGAGAAGACCTGTAAGCATAGAGGTATAAGGGACTAAAACGTATCGAACAAGTTTTTGAAATTTTACAGGGTGACTAGCATCAGGATTTTCCCGATTCTATCAGGATTTGAGGTCAATCAGGATTTAATCCCGATTTCATCAGGAATTGGGGAAAAATCGGTCGTAAAATCAGGATTTGAGAAAAGTCGGCCGTCCGATCGGATTTTTTTATCGAGCTGCTTCCGTGAAGTTACATTCGCCTCTTTTTCTCCGCAAAAAATCAGGATTTTGAAAAATTATGAAATCAGGATTTAGCAGTCAAAAGTCAGGAAAAATCAGGATTTCATTAAAATTTCCCAAACTAAAAAAAACAAACTAGACACCCTGTTTTAGATATTTTAATGAATGCTCTACACTTGAGTGTCCAACAATTCTAGCATTCCGCTGCCATTACTATTAATTAAGTAAAATGAACCACAGTAGGACCCCAGTTCCCGATTATCCGCGGTAATTTGAAGAAATTTTGAGTGGTTGTCAGAGCTTTTGAGTCGGAGTATTTGCGGGCTGCTTTTTCCATACGTTTTACCTTTTTTTCACCGAAGGAAGCAAAATGGCATTGCTATGAACGACCGCGGATAGCCAAGGCTCTGAACTATATATGCATGGGATTTGCGTGGCTCGCATATCTTCCTATGAATACCTTTCATTTGAGGAAATAACCAGTTGTCAAAAATGGATCGCCACTGATCCCTCGATTCCCAATTATCTGATAGCACCGATGGTCAGAAATAAAGGAATAAATCACCGGGGGAAAAAAAAACATTGGATCTAGAGTTCAGATTCTTGAAAACATTGACAAGAAAAAAATACTCATGTGATTTAATCGGATTTTTGTTTGAATCAAAACGAAATCCGCTTAAATTAAGAGGCTTGGTTCTTGATTTAAGCTAGATTCTGATTGAATCAAGAGTACTTTTTCTTGTCGATGTTTTTAATAGTCTGGACTCTAGATCCAATGTGTTTTTTTTTCTTTTTTTCTTTTTTTTTCTTTTTTTTTTCCAGTGATAGGTACCTTGGGGTTCTGCTTGAAGAGTTGGTACTGCTCGAGAGGGAGACCAGTGTAGGGGTTGTGGAAGAGCTGGAGGGACTTGAGGTTGTTGCGCTCTTTGGTGATAGGCTTGGCGGTCTTGTAGACGGGGGGCTCGTAGCTCTGCGGGAACTCCTGGAGCTGCTGCGACGCCACGAGGTACGGGAGCCGGCGGAAGAGCTGCTCCTGGAGGACGGGCTGCGGCAGGAAGTAGTACTGGGCCCCGGTCGAGGCCAGGTAGTTCTGGACGAGGTGGTTCTCGAGCTTGTTGGGCGCGTCCGGGGCCATCGCCGGGGTGTAGGCGTAGGGCGCCGCCGTCGAGGGCGTCTGCCCTGTCAGGTAGAACATCATGTAAGGGATGAGCCGCTTCTGACGCTCGTTCGGACGCTTGGAGGTGTCTTGCACTTTGATCTCCAAGCTGAGAGTCATAAGACCTGCAACAGAGGGAAGCGCGAACGGTCAGACGAGTGGAATGAAGCACAGCGAGGTCGTGATGGAGGTGAATCAACACAGAAATAAATAGATGGTGCTGATGACAGAACCCTCTGTTCACAGGGCTCCTGCAGTTTCTTTGTTACACTTACAGACATTTTCTGTCGTGAGAACAGAACTTCGGTCATGGGAACAAAATGTTACAAAAGAAGTGCTGGAGCCCTGTGAACAGAACTATTTTTACTTTCTCGCTCCCCTAGGGTAGAGAGGAAGTATTGTCACCCTCCAAGAAAAAAAAAAAAAAAAAAAAAAATTTGAAATTTCAGGAGGCCAATTTTTTTCAGTGTAAGAGGGGCGCAATCTCAGGGGATACTGCTATACTGCGGTGCTGAGGAAAAACATTTTTAAGCAAACTTCAGCATATTTTTCCTTGAAATTTTCAGATATTTTAAATTAAATCGTGAAAAAAATTGACTGAAAATTTTGAGGAAAATTATGTACAATTTTCTCCGTAAATTCGGGTTTTCTTGAAGGATATATGGCAACGCATGAAGGCTCATACGGCGTTCTTCCTTAGCACGCCAGTGTAGCTGGTAGCTCCAAGCTAAGACTTTTTTCAAACGGATATGGGATCTAAAGTTAACACCTCGAAAGCTACGGTTACCAAAGTTCAGAAAACGGTCAGTGTTTTTTATCCAAATTCTAGAGATGATTTTAGGTCTTCCATCTTGTTATTTTGGTAAGCAGTAATTATAAATGCCAGTTCCAAATTTCAGAGGCAATATGGCATTGCCTCAGTTCTTGAGGAACATGAGGAAGGGGGGAGGGGTCTCAGTTCAGCACAAAATATTGTATATTTTAAGGTAAAGCCTTAAGTTAATTAATCTCTCTATCTGCAGGGCCCCTAACACTTTCAATTAGGCCTCTTACGAATTTCTCAAACCCCTTCTTTATCACCTCGTAAGTCACGCTGACCTCTGACGAAGAGCAGTCTAAGAGAAAGAACTTTAATTACAGTTGCGGGATTTGAGCGGAGTGTTTAACTCGTTGTTACACTGTCACTGACGGACATGGCCCAGGAACGGCCCCTCACCTTTGGAAATTTTGTCGAACATATGCTGATTGCAGGCCTCCGAAGCTTCGAATGCTGATCGAATCGGCGAACAACAGATTGTGGCAAGTGGTTGTCAATGGCGTGGTGTGCTTTGCGATGTATCGATTGATCTGCCATTTAAACCTGTGGTAAAGGATCGATAAACAGGGTGCTCGCAACGAACACCTTAATAATCGATTCATTACCGTGGCTTTAAATAGAGAAATATCGAAAATAATCGATCATTCACGCCTCATTACTAATGGTTGTGGTTCACATCACAATTTCCTAACGCAGATCAAACGACCCGATAGTCCCAACGACCAGCCCCAGAGCTTCGCGGTTGTCAATGCTGGGACCCTTGCCGGCTTTACATCGGGAGACTTGACCGCAAGGATAAGAAAATCAAACAGACCTAACGTAAATAAAAAATGTCACGCTCTTTTCCCCATCAATGAATTGTCCACCAAGCAAAAATTGAGAGATTTTCTCGATAAATTGAAGAAATATTTTCATTTATTATAGGTATTATGGGTATTATAGGTATTAAAGCACACCTTACATCATACACAGGGTGTTTAAAAAGTCGCACCTCAGCGAATATAACTGTCCCAAACCGAAATACTTATAGGCGTGTAGTTTTCAGCTCTCTCCTATGCATCAATATCTAAACGCCCGAAGGAGCACTCCTTATTGCTGCTGCGTATACACGTTGTTCATTCCTTCGTAATGTATGAAACCTGATGAATATTGTAGAAATCTGGCAACGCTGCACAGTAAAAAAGACAGCTAGCGATGTGTTGACCGCGGACTACGGAACGTTCGCACCCGGCTATCGTACGGTCGCTGATTTGTTTCTCATTGTCAAGCAATAAGAGTGCCGCAGCCCGTAATTATTTATAATTATTTATTAAAAACGCCGCACTGGTAGCTGAACCCAGCGTTGTCAAACCAGTCCACCAATATCTTGAATCAATTGGACCGCATTTTGCGATTTGGAACTACAAATTCTGCCTCTTCTGGAAAAACACTTACGTGCATAGGGAAACTGATGGCACATACGTTGTTTTTAAACCGGGCTAGTATTTATAGTTCCAAATTGCAAAATGTAGTCCAATTAATGTGTGTATGTTCCCTAGGTGAAGATTAGAAACCCAAAACTTGATACGTGCCATTCAACGTTGCTAAAATTGAGCATCGTGTTTCTCATTAAAATAAAGGAACCGAAATGCACACGCCAAGAATTTTTATTCTCAGGCCATCGGGCACCATTTGAATGGAAGCCATTGTGGCTTAGTTTTAGAAGTGCCTGACGGCGTTTACCAGGTTTTGAGTTTTTATAAGAAAATAGAATTTTGAATCATTTTGAAACTAGAGTCAAGCCCTCCAGGGGGCTTGCGGATCTCCCAAGAGGGGGGAGGGGGGGGGGGGGGT